CAAAAAGAATGAGTAAAAGGAAAATAGAATGGAGAATGGCAGTGTTATCCACATTTTAGATTTCTATATCCTTTACTGCAGTTTAAAAATATTAGGTTTGAGATGTTTACAAATCATTGTGTACCCTCATACAGGTATTGCAACCTTTTCAGGCTTCTGTTGTCAAACCAGTAGAGGTCACATAAAGAAAAAATATCTTAAATGCTAATATATGGATTTGGAAATTGGGAGTATCTCTAAACAAACGAACTGGGTGGCTCAGTTGGTTGAGTATCTGAGTCTTGATTTCGGCTGCGGTCATGATTTCACGTTCGTGAGATGAGCCCCATGGCAGGTGCTGTGCTGACAGTGTGACACCTCCTGGGGATTCTCTCTCTCCCTCCCTCTCTGCCCCTCCCTGCTTGTGTGCGCTCTCTCTCTCTCTCTCTCTCTCTCTCTCTCAATAAATAAACATTTAAGAAATTAAAAAAAAAAAGAAATGAACATATCTTTTTCTTTGCATTCATATTCACAATCAGGCATCTTGTACCACCATTCCCATTCATTCATTACACTTTAAAACTTTCAGCTTCGCAAATTCCTTTCATTTCTCTCTTCCTTTGTATCTTTCCTCCTATGGCCTAATTTGCTCGGATTATTTCAGTGGCTTCCAAAATGTCCCCCCTGACATCAGTTAGTCATCATGTTAATCAGTCTTCACACTGCCAGGAACATGGGTTAAAGCATGCCTCTCATCCTTTGAAAACCATCCCATGACACTCACAGCCTACACACAGAAAACGAAATACTTTACCGTGCTATGCAAGCCTTTTCAGGATCTGGACTCAAAAACATTTTCAGATCCACTTTTCCCTAGATTCCTCACTTACCTTCATGTCTTGCCACGCAGCTCTTCTGAATTCTCAGGATTCACTGACCATATCATTCAAGTCAGACACTCACTAGTACTGCTCACTAACTGAGTTTGCACACGGTGCTTTGCTGCAAGTTTGCCGTGTGGATTACTGTCAAATGCATGCACCACGAGGCCTGGCACCAGGCACTTAGCAAGTGCCCATAAAGCATTGCTTTTAGGACCCAGTGACTGTGTTCTTGATGACTTCTCAAGCCTTCAGGCATGCCTTTACCACAATTCAGCACCTAGCGGAATCCAGCCTATCCTTCCCAGTATTCCTCTTCACTGTCAACCTCTTCACGAACATTTTTTTTTCAGGGAACAGAAGAGCTCCATGGAGCCCTGTCCTCTTCCACAGGAGAGCATCCCTTCATGTATTTAGCACACGTTTCACTGTCTTAGTTTGTTGTCAACGTGTCTGTCATTCCAATTCGGTATTTGTTGTGCCTAACTCAGTGTATCGTACACATTGAATACCCAGTCATTACTTACGATGCTTACTTACTAAGCTTTTTCTGGCTATGACCCCCCTTCATTCTTCAGATTTAGTATAGATGCTTTTAATATAGGAAAGCAATAAAATATAGCTTGTTTGTATTTTCCATCAATGTGTGCAATCTCAGTCAAGTCACTGATCATCACGGGGTGCAAATGGACCATTTCTCAGACGGATACATCTTAGGTATCCATAGGCAGCGGGCTGCAGGGACTTTGCAATTTTAAGATGTATCTATGATTCTCCAGCATGGCCCCTCCCACCTTCATGTGGCTTGAAGACTAACATAGATGGAAACCAAATTTTTATATTAAGAAAGGCTTCTCCTTTTTCCTTAAATATACTTTCACTTGGAAATTTTGGAGCTGTTTGCTTCCCCTTCAGATGACAAAAATAAAATAGTGTTTATTTGTAAATCTGAGGCATGGTAAACAGGGAAGTGACAATGGAGAGGTAGCTGTCGAGCTTATGATCTTCACATGGTTTCCTGCCCCCACGGGACACTTTCCCAGCCACACAGGCTTCCTTGCTGGTCCTCAAAACTGCTGGTTTCTAAGAATCTTTGCAGTTTTGCCTTAAACATTCTTACCTCCGTATCTTCATGAAGATCACCCCCCCCACACACACCACTTACCACTCAAATGCTATTAATTCAGAAAGTTCTTTGTTGGCCACATACTGAAAGAAGTGCCCCATCTCCCACTTGCCATCCCCCTGTACGGCTTTTCTTCTTCAAGGTACCTAATCAGCGCTTTAAGTTTTATTGTATTTATTACTGAATGAATGAGGGAGTCCTGAAAATTCGGTCAGGGATAAAAAGCCTTGGAGCAGAGGCAGCCTCATTCATTAGGCTGTGAGGGGGGCAACGATGCTCTATTTTCAGCTTTAACACGACTTTTCAGGATTTGGCTGGCCAACACAGAGCTATCGTTGGCTTTGATTCAGTGTCTTTAAGAAAGAGTGATATTGCTTTTCATCTTTGTCATGGCTCCCTGCTTTTGGCATCGAGATGTTTAGTTATTCTTTAGTGATTCTACCAGGAGTGCACTAGAAATAGCAAGAAGAGAAATCAAAAGGGCCCATGTAGCTACTCTGGGAGGAAAAACTGAGACAAAAATTTGGCAAAACTTAGGTTATGAATCATACAACACGGAAATGGACTATTTCTCAAGGTATTCCTATTTACCCTTGTAGATGAGTAATTGTGAATTGACCACATACGGCTCACATATAAACATATTTCAAAGCAAATTTTTTTAAGAGAAGTATGAGTTACTTTGTTTTATCTAAGAGTAGATAATAGAATTTATATATAAAGAAAAGTGTAGTTAATTCTCTTTAGGAAAATACTTGTTTTCTAAACGCCGGATCAATAATAACATGATTCAGGATCTATTTAAAAAATAACTACTACATGTGAATTGTAACATTAAACAGCTATTTTTTTCTCTCTCCATGATTCATTAGAATAATATATGTTCACATGAACAAGCTCTATGGTAAATGTTCATTTCCTAGAAATCTAGTGAAGTGTACCTGATAAATTCATCTTTTACCACAGAGCCAGAATGAAAAGTAAAATGAATTGTAACAGCTTTCCTATGTCACTACAAGTTCAACCTATTGTGTTTTAAAGTCCAGCAGCGAACAGGATGACAAAACAGGAATCAGTCCATTTGGTGGCTTTCTCTACAGAAATAATTTGGTATATTTCAGTTTGACTAAGATAGTCAGGAATGAACAATTCCATTTAAAAGAAAAAAAACCTAAGGAAAAGCAAATATTTTCCAGTAAAATAAGTTACGAGATTAAAGTATCAGAATGCTTATTAAGTGACACATAAGCACATTCAAAACAGAAATACGGTGCGATGATCCCACCTGAGAACTGAGAACACTCGGGCCATTTTGCCTATTGCTCGGATCTTGTTCCTTATCACCTCCTTCCGGGCTGCAGCTGTTGCGCCTATATTTTAAAACAGAATTAAGTAGTCAGTGACCTTTTATCTAACTGTAATTATCTTACAAATTTAAAGCTATAACCGACTATATAGTAAGCCAAGCCATCTCTGCATATCACGTCCCCCCAAAAAACCACATGGATTTATCTGTGAATTAATTTTATTTTACTTTATTCAAGTTTATTTATTTACTTTTGAGAGAGAGAGAGAGAGAGAGAGAGAGAGACAGGCAGAGACAGGGAGAGAGAGACGTAATCCCAAGCAAGCTCCACACAGCCAGCACAGAGACCGATGCGGGGCTCGAACTCACGGATGGTGAGATAACGAGCTGAGCCGAAATTAAAAGTCAGACGCTTAATCGACTGAGCCACCCAGGTGCCCCCTGTGAACTCATTTTAAAAACCTATGCATCTGGCCATTAATACTTGGATGTGGCTCTTGAGAGGTCCCCAAAATGCCAAAAGCAACTTTTGAGATTTCCAAGGGGGGTGGGTAAAGAGCTGAAAAATCATGGCGCTGACAGGGTAGGTTCCCACCCTCCTCTTCTAATGGAATTCCCTTCTCTTCTGTTTATACAGAGACAGTGTGTATTGGCAGGAAGAATCAAGTGAGTCACCAGGATTTTCTACTCATTTCCGGACCTCTCCATGCTAGGAAGACTACTTTAGGAAACTGTCCTTTGGAAAGTTCTCTCTTGAAGCGACTAGGGAGTGTCAACTCCGTAAGTTCCCTGAAGCATCATGTTTGTTATTTAACCACCATAAAACATTTGTTTACGCATTTGATACTTTTTCATCTTCTGTTGGTTCCCAAATTCTAGAGGGAAAAATGGAAAACTACCGATTTGGATTTAGTGAGAGATGGTGGCACATGGCTTGTATTTTAATACTTATGTAAAAAAGTTACACATAGGTTTGTCTGAGTAACTTTTACCACTTACTCCATTTTCCAAATGAAAAAAAATCAATCTACGTAGGTTATTATTACTATAAACATTATTATTATGTTTTGAAAATAAGCCTGTATGGTCTTTAGTGACTCCATTTTTTTTTTTTTTTTTAAATTCCACAAGCATGTTTGGAGAAGTGTAAATCACAGGAAAACATCTCTCTTAAGATTTTTATAATCCAAAGTAAAGGGGCTGAGATACCATTTTGTCCATTATATGGGCCTTCATAGAAAATGTTAACACAAGAAGATTGTTTCTCTAGTTCTACTACCATGAACAGAAATACAACAAAATATTCTTCTCAGATGATATCGGAAAGGTTCCTGATCCAAATGAACAGTTTAACTTGCTTAGAGACTGCAGTCCATGGGTGATCATTGGTGTAAGTTTTCATCTTTTAATCTGAGATACGGACAAGCTTTCTGACCTTTCTGGAAGGAGAGATTTCTGCTTTTTCTCTTGGAGGGTTTTTAAGAATGTGATCTGGAATCTTTTGCATAGTTTGAACAGAGTCAAACAATTAATCACCACCCTAATATTTCTATACGAAAGAAAACTCACATCAAAACTCATACCATGTTGAACTGCCTGGAGGAAAAACCTCTGCTTTTCTTTCCCCCCAAGGAAAATGAACACAAAACGGGCCACTGTCTTCTCCTGAGTAAGAGAAGAAGTGATATTAACGCACACCCATCTCACTACCCATGGGTGTTCCCCACAAGGTATGTACCCAGCGAGCTGGTTTCTTCACTTTGTCTTCCTGACCTGAAAGCCTTCAAATAGCCCATATATCAGGCCATTTCTTTCTCTCTTGTGGCAATCACATCATGGTAGGTATCTCCCAACATACTGATTGGCAGAACTTACTATAGCCAGTGATTCTGCCTGTAGATGAATAGAGAAAACCACTCTCCAATCCAGTCTTTCCAATGATGAAGTGAAACCATGGATTCTCATTCACTAAGTTCCTTGAATTATACTCTGTTTTCCAGAACATTTGAGGAGAAGATAGGGTATGCACTGGATCTCTGCCTCAAACTTTATCCTGGGTTTCTAACAATTTTTATTACCTATGATTTGTAATTAAGATTCTTTCTACAACAAATCCTGTTCTGGACACCATCTAAAAGCCTAGGTTTTTGTGCCTGCATTGTAGGTAATTTATGCACAAGAGGCTATTAAAGAACATGTGTTAAGAAAAAAAGTAGGATGGCAATTAGTCTCCTTAAGGCTTTTTTCTTATATGTATTTTTTTCAGTTACATTCTGCTCTGAGTCTAACACTGCGATTCCTACTCTATATTGACTATTTCCAGTCTGTTTGACCCAGTGCTCTCAGAGGTCATGATGAGCTAAGTGAGGGAAAAGATTCTGACCCTCTCCAACACACAGTATGGCCAGATCACAAAATCCATCACACAGACACAAAGAATGTAAAACGTGGGTGAGCTCCAAAAGTGGCAACTATATTTAGAAGCACAGTAAGAAAAGAAGCAAGAAGGACTGGTTAGAAACAAAATTGTACATATTTAAGAGAAATGAGAAAGGAAAAACATAAAATAAAACAAGTGAAAACTACAGAAGAAGGAAAACTTCCCAGAAAATTTTCAATAAAGGGCTTGCAAAATCCACAAGCAGGGCCCTAAGTTGGAAAGGGAGGGAAATAAATTATATAGAGCTATCCTATCCTCTTTAGCTCAGTGTTAGTGGATTCTCAGAAAAGTGCTCAAATAAATTCTGAATTTTAAACATAAAATGAGCATTCTGATAGAGCCATTTTGTCATTCCTTATTTTTTTCAGATCCAGTGATTTACTGAAGAGCATGTAACCACTATTCTACTTTGTGCAATCACAGTCGTGCTCCTAATAAATGGTGATGCACAGCGCATTACGGCCGTTTTCTTTTCCTTTTATTTATATTCAAGTTAGTTAACATACAGTGCAGTCTTGGCTTCAGGAGTAGAACCCCACGATTCATCTGTTACATATGACAGCCAGTGCTCATCCCGAAAAGTGCCCTCCTTAATCCCTATCACCCATTTAATCCATCCCCCCAACCACTTTTCTTAATGACGAAATGCTATCTTTTTAAAATTTCTCAATAACACAGATAAGTAAAAAGCTTTACTACTCCTTTTATAAAATGGGAACATACTTACTCAAAAAATCAAAATTAGCCTAATCATAAACAGCGTAAAGAGACATACGAAACGAATATGTCTTGAAGTTTTATCCTGGGGATTGTTTTCAATATTTTCCAAATATTGAAAATCAAAATTAAACTAATGCCAAACTTTGGTAACTTCACAAAATGTAAAATACTCAAATAGGGACACTTGGGTGGCTCAGTTGGTTGAGCATCCGCCTCTTGATTTGGGCTCAGGTCATGATCTCACAATGGTGAGCCTTCTTGGGATTTTCTCTTCCCCTTTTGCTCTCTGCCCCTCCCCTGCTTGTGTGTGCACTCTCTCTCTAAATAAATAAATAAATATTTAAAAAAAATAAAAAATAAAATACTCAAAATAGCTGAGTTAATATGTAATTGAACTTAAAGGGACTGAAAAATAGTGGGGTAGATTTAAGTTCAGACACAAAGATCCTTGTATACTTAGTAGCATTATTCCTGATTTCTGGCGTTTTCCAAATGCAGAGCCCCAAATTGGGCTCTGTGCTGATAGCATGGAGCCTGCTTGGGATTCTCTCTGCCCTTCCCTCCTACCTGCTAACACACTCTCTGTCAAAATAAATAAATAAATAAATAAATAAATAAATAAATAAATAAATAAGAATTAAAAAAAAAAGAATATAACATTTTAACTTGAAAGTCTAAAACTGCAAGGAACATTTCATATGTTTTTAAAAAATTAGTCATTTTAAGTAAAATTACATTTTGCGTTTCCATTCTAGTAATTCCCACTTCTTTTTTGAGCACTTCTCTCTCTACAATTTTTAACTTCTAATCTTTCATGCCTGGGGTGTTATGCTACTCTATCCAGAACCAAGGCAATCGTGCATACTCAATTTTCCTCAAAGTGGAAGAGGCTAATGTATAGACCAAGGGAATCTTTAAAGACTCGCTTTCAACATGTGTCTTTTCTGACCTTAACTTGGCACCTGGACGACTTCTCATCACGTTTTAAAGGCGTCCATGCCAAGCCAAGTGTCTTGCTGAGTGAGTGCTGTATCCCCACAAGGCGGATTTTAGCTTCTAAGGGGACTGGGAAACTGCAGCAGCATTGTTGCAACGAGGGGCCGAGTGCTAGGGTGAAGAGAGATTCTTACCACATGGGACACCCACCACACATCACAGATGCTCCGCATCTGGCCAACAGCTCCCACCCATTGAGTTACTACAGCAAATTCCTCAGTGTTCACTGAATTAGAGAATGTGGGAAGTGCTGGATAGAATACAGTTTATTACCAAAATCATGTATTTACTAGGTGTTCTGGTGAGTCTCTCCCATATAACCTTCCATGCGCCAACCACCAGCAATAGAAATATGGATTAAGCATGATCTCTGCTTTAGGAAATTGCGTGAACAATGACAACAGAGTGTGACAAATAGTGTGCGCGTAGCAGTGGTGTGCCCGAGCTGGCTTGTGCCCACTAGTGAGAGTAGATGGAGGGCATCTCCTCTTAACTCCACGTTGGTAGCCTGAATCGGCGGCAGGGAAGAGGTTTTATACTATGCAAAGCTACAAAAGCCACAAACTAGGGCCATTTCTCCCCTGCAGGAAGGGTTGTCAAACATGTACCAGCACATCACTGAAAGTAGGTGTTCATTGTCTGGAGGCACGAGAAAAAAAGGTCACTGAAATCATGACAGTTGAAGGATCTTGAGGGATAAGTAAAAGTGAGAGAACAAGAAGAACTGGGTCTTCTCCATAGAAGGAAGACAATTTTTAAACTTTTGGAGGCCGCAACAAGCCATGTTGTGTTCAGTGGTGGTGAGAGGTCTGGTGTGAATGGAGCCGGGCATGCTGGGGTGAGGCAAGGCAAGAGGAGAAACAGGGGCTCCCCGGGCCAACCTGTTAAGGCGAGCACGTACTAGCACC